CCCTGTACTTAAGCTTTTTAAAGAAACACCAAATGTCTGTAAAACAGCTGACTTCAAGGGGTAGTGATAACACCGTTTACATCAGAATTATGATTTTTTAAAAGTATTACTAGTTAATAATACTTATAAAAACTGATACTCCGTTTGAAACTATGTCACCTCAATGAAATTGGTTGCCATCATTCTTTTAGTTTTTGAGGTATCAAGTAATATAATAGAATCAGAATAAATAAATTTAAACGTTTTTCTATGATATTTACAGACATTCCCAAAACACAGTCATTACATATATATTATTATAAAAGGAAACACTGTATAGTATTGTAAAGTTCTGATGACCTATTGAGGACATATTTGAAACACCATTTCGATGAACAATCCAGGCCATCTCTACATAGGCAGTGCTACCGTCTGCCTAATACCAATATACATTTAGCAGAAACACAACTCCGTTACTGCATGTGCAGAAACTATACACTCTTCAGGTATGCCAGGAAAATGAGCATTGCCCTATAAATATCAGTTAAAACGCATTAGCCGATACTTAGCTGACAAAGCTAAGCATGATAATTTTGTGACTTTTATAACTAATATATACAATTGAAGTTTCGATAAGACTGTCAGCGGACAATTTGATTTTTTTATCTCAACAAAGCACAATAGGATCTTTACGTTATGCTACCACTTCATTTCCGTAATTACTATAACTTTTCCACGTACCACCAGAAGGAATACTAAAGTCCTCAAGCTGAGAATCTGTACCTACAAACATTATGTTAATGAAAGAATCATGAAAAATCTAGTAAGCATTTCTTGTTCTTTATCAAATTTTCTCTTCCCTCAACTCCTTTTTATGTGGTTAGGCGTTTTTGATTGGTTAATTTTAGGTCACGCATTTCCCTGTACAGGTAGTTTAGGTGTATGCATCTTGATTCAGACTAGTGTATAGATGTTGTTCAAAGGTGACGTGTTCAGTTTTTGCTGAAAGCTGTTCTATTTGTTACTTGGAAAATTGAACGGGTAAAAGTACCCCAAATCTCTTTATTCATGACAGTTTTCTAATAAAGGAAAATGTATTATCAAGTGTGGTGAGAAGTTTTGAAAAGAATGCAGAAGTAAGTTATACGATATATTAAATCATATGTCTTAGTTAAGGGACAAGAAGAATTAGTTACGTTACTGGGAAATAAGACGCGCACAACGTTCAGAGACGCCACTTGCAAGTGTAAGACTACGTAAGGTAAAGGTTTGTTTGATATTAAGTGCATTATTTCTAGTTTAAAGCTGTTCTCAACAACTGAAAATGTTGATTATTTAGATACTATAACTTATAGTAAAGAATGTAAAGACAGATGAAATAAGAAGTGATTTTTTTTTATCTTTAATTATTTTCTAACTTCAAAATGTTGTATAGTACTGTGTTTCTTCTGGCAATGCTTAAATAATTACTGAATCAGCAACAAAAAAAACTAATTATCTTTTTGTTTGCAAAGATAATAATTTCAGTAATTTTGTTTCTTTCCATAAACGTTAGGAATGCCACCATTTCAAACTTTGTTTGTTGTTAACCACAAAATAACACAATAGACTATCTGTGTTCTGCCCACCGTATAGCATGTATCGAAACCCTACTTTTAACAATACAAGTTCAGAGACTTATACTCAGTTATAACTGAGCCACTGGAAGGTGGAAGAATAGAAAGGAATTATAAAAACGAAAAGAAAAAAGAAACCTAGTTTGTTAAGTATTCTTTAGTAACAAAGATAAATATTACTGAATTACTACAATTTTTCTTCAAACATCTCTAGAGATGTGAAGTATCATTTGGATAGTAGATCTTGGATTGACCATGTAATCACGCAGCTATATATTCAACTTAACAGTTTCATTAGTCTTCGTTGTTTTTTTGTTTGTAAGCTCACACCGATATTAACATTTCGCCTGATTATTTTTTTGTAACTTTACGTCGATGTTAATCACATGAAGAAGTATCACTAGTTGGCATTTAGCTTATGTGTTTTGTTATTATATGTATACGGGCTCACGCATACCGATATTATCTCTATAACCTGAATACTTGTGTTCTATCACTAAATAATTGTCTCGTTTCGTTAAACGTCCACACAGGTTTGTTCAAATTCACTTTAAAAAAAAGCCACTATACGCTATTTACGACTAAACTTACAAACACACAGTCTAGAACTGTTTGACTATATCTCTCACTAACTTGGTATTATTTCTATATAACTAACTTTGTCTGACTTACTTGAACTATATTTTTTACGCGTATTTATAAATACCCGACTGAGGCCTAGAACTTACAAACACACAGTCTAGAACTACTTGACAATGTCTCTCACTAACTTGGTGTTACTTTCTATATAACTAACTTTGTCTAACTTACTTGAGCTACATTTTTACGCGTATATATATATAACCAGAATGAGGCCTAGAACTTTCCATACCTACGAATTATTATGATGTATTAATACTCGAGAAATACTTAGAAGGTTCTAGTAACATGTCGCAATAATACAACAATCGCCAATTTACGACAGTTGAACTACACCACGTATGATTAGTACAGTTACGTAAATAAACCTGCGATAAACTAACGCTTCTAAAATAGCTAAATTTAAAACTCCTACTATACTTAAATTAAAACAGTCATTTATATCTAACAATTAACACAATCTTATTGGGGAAGTAAGGAATGGTGTGAATTTAAATTTGTATCAGACTTATTGTTATATACAATGCATAGCTACGATTGTTCTATTGAAAAATATTTGATGGAGACTAGCCCTAAGTGTCTGAATCTGTGATCAATTTAGAATGCGTCATGAGTAAAATATCTTAACTTGAAGTCACATTTTTATATCCCTAATATACGTGAAGTAAAGGATATTGAATGTATGTATGTGTCTATACATTCTCACTCTTCGGACACATACCTCTCGTATTACCTTACTGCACTCAAAAAGTATAAACATCATTACATTTAACCTCATTGTTAAAATTAGAGGACTGTGTTACACACGTGATTATAACAAATGTCCAAAGATTATTATGTATTATAACATAGTTGTCAGCGAATATTTTTCGAAGTAATATAACGTAATACATAAAATGCAGTCAGGATATGAATCAGCAAACAGGGCGTTTTTAACAGTTTCCACGAGCCAGGGATACTACTTAGAAGCCGTTTTGCAGAGGCGGTTAGAAAAAGTCATCCCGGAAAAGGGTTTCGACACCGGATTCAGCAAGAACACGATGTGAAAAAAAATATATTCTGAAATTTTGAAGAAAACATATTGAGTAGAAGTCGAGATATGATCGATTGAATATACGGATTCCATAGTACTAAAGTCATTTGTAATATATGATTCATACTATGCATCGGCATGATTAAAATACTTCTTAAGCTTTCGTTTCAATACACAAACAAAACTCTTTAATTACTTCAACTCCGCACAACTTGCCTCATTTTTTCTGAGCAGAAGTCTGATTTCTGAATTGCATTAATGCGTTCTTGGGCTCGATTTCATAACCAGACTGCACCACAATTTGACTGATGACCATTCTGAACCGCTCTTCAATATCTCCTATTTTCGTAGAGATAGTTCTGTGTTTCTTATATTTGGACGTCAAAGACGAAATTATCTGACGAATTTCCATTTCACGTAGCAAATCAAGGTGTTCAGGATATTTCTGGCATAAAATTTCAAGCATACAACCCAGTCCAATTTTATTCCATTTGTCTTCTACGCCTCACATGTACATTTCGCCTATCTCCGCTTTGAAATGTTAAATGCACCTAGCACCATACATTTTTCCATAAAAAGGTCGCTTAGCAAACCCAAAACCAAATACTTCTGGTACAAAGTCGGCATCATCTTTCTGTAAGTCATGAGCATCAGAAGAAATATTTTCACGGATCTTCGTATCAATGAAAACAACTTGTCCTTGGTCTATTAGCATTTTGGCATGTCTAATAGCTGAAGATAGTAAGTCATTTTTGGTTCTGGCACCTCTACAGACATGTTGTTCTTTCTTCACCACAGAGGTGAGAGACTGCTCACATACCACAAACTTTGTTCGATCCTCCAAATATTCTCCTAATTCATCTAAAGTAATTCGTCGTCGCTGACTCCATATCTGTCGTCTGTAAATATTGTCTCTGTCTGCCTGCAATCAAAACATACAGTTTGTTAGCTTTCCATGGAATTCAGTCACATTCACATCCTCAACGAAGTCCCCAGATCCCAGTTTATCAAAACTCACATCACTGATATCGTCTCTTTCGTTGTCAGCCTCTTCATGATCACTTGGCTCCATTTCATCATCATATTGACTCAATTGTTCATCGTTCATGGGATCATTTGGCTCTTGTTCATCACCACATTGTCCTGAAGCTGTATTACTGGAAACAAAGTTCGGCTTATGAGGGTCAGACATGTCAATAAAGACTGAATACACTCTCGAATACTCGTAGAGTCAAATATAAGTGTCTTCAAACACAACTTCATTGAATCGACCAAGTTTTGAGAAAACTTTATCTATTGCCTCTGAATAATCATTCATCAGTTCAGATACTTTTAGTTATCTTGGTCAAATATTGAAACCACAGTATTTGCCACCCACCATTACATTGCAGAGCTTGTTGTAATTCTAATGGTAATATCACATTATTGCCCATATTCACATATTTAGTAATAAGATACACTGCTATTGCAAAGTGTGCATCGATACACTCTGTTCAATCCTGTGTCTCTGTATGTTCAAAGTTTCTACTACCTGGCATGTTTCGATCACCAAGTCGTGTATTGATTCCTTGATACACATGGCCTCGAGATCTCCTACATAAAATGGAGTATCCACCTTTATTTTTGCTATGGGAAATTTTCTCACTGTTCCATCAATTAGCACACACAAGCATAGCTTGCCTATCATCGGATAATTGGATACTAAACTGGTTCTCACTGCTGCACTACTGCACCCAATGTCTCATAAAACCCTCACGTTCTTGTCCCCAACATGGCCTTCACATATTGGTATATTATGAATTATTGGTATCTCTTGATATTTGTTATATGCTCTCATCACTATTGGCACTGTTGATCCATTTGCTAATTTGAGCCGACCATTAGTCATGCACTGATCAATCACGTTTTCTTGTACTGAATTTAACAAGCAGTCTTGATTATCTTTCTTCTGGCAGCAGCATCCATGGTGCCAGTCACTTTTTTCTTGTTTCTTACCAGCACTGTCTTTGTAAACGGCTTCAGCTACTTTATGTTGAGGTTTCTAATGTGGTTTGCTGATAATGGACTTGCACTCCTTTGCAATATGCCCCATTTTATAACAAACATAACACCTTCTGTCTATTAACCTCCTGTCACCTTTGGTAAACTCCTGCTTCTGGTCAGCTATTACTGGTTTCAAATTTTTCTGGACATTCTTGGACTTGCCAGTTATACCAACTCCATGGGCTTCCATATACTGTTCTATTAGCTTGATCATCTTGTCTGCATCTTTTGGTGCTCTCTCATTTAAAACCAGTGAAACTTCAGTTGAAGACGTGGTCAAGAATTGTTCACGTACTAATAGGTCTGCCAGTCCCTCAAAAGCATTTTTCACACATGGCGTTGTCAGTCCATCTGGTGAAATATCGCTGCAGACGTGCCACAAACTGAAATACAGTTTCTCCAATGTCGGGTTTGACTCCTCTGAACTTCCGATGAAAACCTTTCTCAGTAAGTTCATATCGTTTCAGTTAAGCTACTTTTAATTTGCCATAATCCATGGCATCTTCTGACGTCATGCCTGCATATACTTGTAGGCCTTTTCCTGTGAGAGGTGGACTGAGACAAACTGCCAAGTCGCCTTTGTCCCAATTCTGACCCCTCGACGTGGATTCCTGTAGGTGGTGAGGGGACCTCCGAGGGAAGGTTCTGTATTTTCAGTTACTTCCTCTGTGATCCAAACATCCACGCACATGTTTGCTGTGCGTAGCAACCCGTGAAGGGGAGGAGAGGATCCTGGTGGCTGAGTGGTGTCTGGGGCACTGCAACATACCACTTTGACCTTGAATTCCTGTAGATGGGTGGCCCC